ATAGTTTCTAAATTGCAGGCATTGATGGCATTACAACACATCACCTGGTGGACACGGGAGGAGGAGGAGGGGAGATGGGAGTGGTGGGTGAGATGACAGGGGATGACGAAGGCCTGAAGGTGACATCAGTAATGGCGCATGATGGAGGGCATTCCCTTGACCATGCCAGCCTGCAGGATGAGGTGCGCTATGTCACCGTAGATGAGTCGGGACAAGCCGTCACCATCATGTACCCACATGTCAACTTTGTGGAATTCCCTGGTGTGCATGGGGAGCTGAGCCTGGACCAGGGGGCACTAGGGGGAGATGCAGGCATGGTGCTGCAACAGGACTTTAGTGGTGATGGCCCCATAACTGTGGTGACATCGGATGACACCGGTGAGCAGCTGGCCCTCCTAGACCAAGGCCATGAGCACTCAGCAGTGGCCATGGGTGGTAGTGAGGGCACACAGGCGATCACATACCTAACAGCCACGGATGATGGTCCTGATGGCTCCCCTTCAGCCATCCTAGGGGAGCAGCTCATCCAGATCCCAGCGAGTGACCAGTCAGGCTCCACTCACACCATCACAGTGCCTCTCTCCTTCCTCAATGATGGCTCTGGGGTGTCCATTCTGCAGGGTCTGAGCCACCTGCAGCTGCCTTTTGTGGGTGAGGCAGGTGGTGACTCCATCACCCTCTCCTCACCAATGGACACCGACCACATGGCCTCCGTTGGCAGTGCAGATGTCACACAGAGCCAGGTCCTTTCTGAGCTGCAGTCAAGTGCAGTCACCCCTACCACCACACAACCCTCTGTGCATGGCCAGGCCCATGGTCTGCCAACCCCCTCCCATTTAGGCATTCAGACTTCCTCCTCCAAAGTCCCCCTAACCTCAAGTGCCAAGCCAGTTGTAGTTAAGACCAACAGCCAGTCTTCGAACAAGCATGGCTCCCATCAGCCCAGAAAGCTCATTGGCTCTGGTCCCACAGCCATTTCTGCACAAGGTGTTGTCCAGAAGATTGGTAATAGACTAGTCACAGTCCTCCCTCGGCCAGAGGATCTCAAGAAACTGCAAGATAGCAAGTCTCTGGTGTTTAGTGTCAAGGGGTCAGGTGATTTTGGCCAGGATGCTCATGGCCTGAAGAGCCCCAGGGCAAGGAGGGTTCCAGTGCCTGTCCGACCCCACCAGAGGTATGGAAGGAGAGGGCGGGGGGTAGGCCGTGGCAGGCCTTCCTCCATATCAAGAATTGAAATGAAAGAGCAGGGCACACTCACTTCACCTACAAAAACAGTGTCCCTGCTGAAGAAGGATATCCAGGAGGACTCCATCTTACTAGCAGAAACCTCCATGGACCAGCACCTAGATGGATGCATCAAGCTTGAAGACACGTCCAATGAGGGTATAGTGCTGGATATGACACTTCCTGGGGGGTCTCCTGCATCAGCTGTTCTAGTCAAAGGCCCACCTGAAGATGAGGAGTTCATCCTGCCCGATGTAATTGTGCCCCACATACCTGTCACAACACGGCGGGGGAGAAGAAAAAAGAGGGGAAGGGGAAGGCCCAGAGGCACCTATGTTATCTCTTCTACTGGACGCAGACCTGGAAGGCCAAGGAAGGTGAGGAAGTGTATATAGTGATTCATTATTCATTAAGATTCATTATTCTCATAAACTCTTTCCTGCAATAATGATGAAATACATGGTAAATTTATGAATGTGGTGAAGAATCTTCTTTGCCCCCTTTCCTTCTCCTTCTCTCTTTCATTTCTTTCCCCCTCTCCATATTCCTCTCCCTTCCACCTCTCCCATTCCCTTTTTCTTTCCCTCTTCCTCTCCATGTCCTTCTTTTCTCTCCAGTGCATCGTCTCCCACTCCTCCTTGTCCTCCTTTGCCCCCTCAAACTCTCTGTCTCCCTCTTTGCCTTTCTTTTTCTCCCTCTGCTTCCCCTCTCGCTCTCTTTCCTACTCCTCCCACTCCACTCCACTCCCACTCCCACTCCACTCCCACTCCCACTCCCACTCCCACTCCCACTCCCACTCCCACTCCTTTCCCTTTGATATAACAAGGTTATATATAACATATTCTGTACATATTAGTGAAGCACATCTTTGTGGGAAATATTTATTTCTATCATGTTTGATTGCTTACTTTGGAACTTATTAGTTATGAAGGAAATTATGGTAATCACTCAATCATGTAATTATTGTAATGAGTAGTATTTGAATTATGTATGTTATGAGTTATCTGTTTATAACTTGAACATGCATTTTATATTTAATAAGTTAATTTTTTGTATCTACCTTACTTATTTTTATTCTCATTTAAAACTATTGCCTAATTCCACTTACCAGGTGGAGACGCTTATGGAGGGACCACATGGAGCACGTATGATCCACACAGGGCCAGACACACGCCTTGAGGGGGATCTTGGAGACCAGGGTGAGGAGAGAGCACTTGACATGTGTTTTATCTTTCATTATTGCAAGTCTTATTCTTGCGTGGTTCACATTTTTGTC